GGCTTTTCCTTTTCAGTAATCTTCTCATAGGAGCAACTATCAAAGAGAAGTTTCTGACGAACTCCTTTTAGTAGTTAGCAAGTCCTAGGAAAGATCTCAGTTCAATTTTAGTCTTAGGTCGTGGCCAATCTCTGATTGCTGTAATCTTTTTTTTTTCAGGCCTTATACACCCTAAGTACAAAACTTCAGGCTTAGCGAACTCAGACTTCTTCGGATTCAGTTTGAAGTTGCCCTCGCGCAACTTTTGCAAATACCATTCGAAAATGTTTCTCGTGGTCTTCCAGTGTCTTATTGTACACTACAATATCATCAAGATAGACTACTACGAATTGATCGAGCCATTGTCGAAACAACTCGTTCATGGACCTTTGGAAGGTCACAGGTGCATTGGTCAAACCGAATGGCATAACCACGAACTCGTAGTAACCATACCTGGTTCGGAATGTCGTCTTATGTCGATCCTAAGGAGCCACCTCGATCTGGTGGTACCCTGACTTGATATCAATCTTGCTAAAGTATCGACACCCCTGCAACTGATCCAATAGATCGTCAATTCACGAAAGAGGTTCCACATAAACAATCTTCAATCAATTAGTTGGTTTCATCAATCTAGGGATAATCAAACTATAATACCTATTTTTATTTGTGTACTACTTTGACGATAACGAAATTCAGCCCACGATAATCTATACATAGACGAAGTTCACCTTCTTTTTTGGGTATAAATAAGGCAGGTGCACCGTAAGGAGATGAGCTAGGGCGAACCCATCCCTTGTCAGTAAGTTTCTGCAACTGATTTCAAAGTTCCTCAAGTTTCGTGGAAGACATTCGGTAGATGGGACCCTTGGGAATCTTGCTTCAGGGAATGATCTCGATTGTGTGCTTAATAGCACGCTCAGTAATTCCCGTCAGCTCAATGTGCAAGCCCTTATACTCGTCGAGAAGTCTTTCAATAGAAGGTGGATAGGATGAGGAACACTCACCTACTCGCTTGACAAGTACCATCATCACCTCCTGATCCAACTTGTTCTTTACTACCATCGAGTGGAAAGTTGGACAACTCGTACAGCGGAAACACTCACCTTCTCGCTTGACAAGTACCATCAACACCTCCTGATCCAACTTCTTCTTTACTACCATCGAGTGGAAAGTTTGATAACTTATACAACAGAAAGATAGAGTAGAGTCAGAGTCAGGCCTATGATATAACTTTATGACACACGATTCAGACTTCTCGTCCTTGAGTTTGACAATTTTATCCTTGAAACTTACCTTTGGGTCGGCTTCCTCATGCCAATCCATTCCTAGAATCATATCAAAGGGTAGTTTTTTTTCTATTAGGAAGGATATCTCGTGTAGAATCTTCTTACCTACCTTGGTCTTGAAATAACACTTAACACGATAAACGTATTGAGAGACACGATCAACGTATTGAGAGACAGTGATCGAACTCTTGTCAGCCACTATAGACATAATAGGTCTAGGTAAATCTTTTACCTTCGTTCCCAGATACAACTTACGAATTGCCTTCTCTGAGATATAAGACTGCGCCGATCCCGGATCTAGCAAGGCACCTCCTTGTGTGTGCGCAATCTCAATATCTGTGATCATCAACTCACCCCTAGTCTTTGCTTTCTTCGCCCCCGAGCTCCGTAATGCTACCAGTTCATTGTTGAGCTCGTCAAGGGAATCGTCCAGTGAGCCGGAATAAAGTACTGTGGCAGGGTGGTCTGGACGACGGGCGGAAAAAGAACCATCCTCTCCCTTTAGAGTCAAACGGGTAGAAGGGGGTTGTCGCCACTTTACCTTTATCTTGCTCTAAACCCTTCAACTCAGTAGGATCAGACGCTACTCCTATTGGTTGCTCGCTTTTGGGTTTCAAATAAGTGGGCAACAGGATATCACGTACCCTAGCGTGCCACACTTGAGGCACTGCCGATTGTCCATTTCTGATTGCCACTCCTCTCGAGTCATGTTCATTTTCTCCCAAGGTTTCCCGAAGGCTATACTTGGATGCTCGGGGAACGAGCATGGCCTCCTCTTCTTTTTCCACTGTCCTTGGCCTCCCTTGTTGGCCATAATGGCAGTGACATCACCCTTCCCAGATTCACTGTCGTCGTTACCTCCTCCTCCTTTCGACTCATCAAGAGCTAACTTTTTTACCGTATCATCATCAAATACAACAAGCATATGATCTAGGCACTTTTGCCGCCAGAGGACCCGCTTGCCGTACCCACCAACCGGCTCCGATTTGACTACCGAAGCGTACATATCTTTGACTTGGGCAGTCATCTGCTCTCTTCGCGGATCGAGATCGCAAAACTCTCAATAATTATACTCGCCAGACTTAGATTTCGCTAGAAGTTGTCCATGAATGGGCTCGAGCAGTGCACGTGAGTAGATTTACAATACCTGGTTGTCTTGCAAATTCAGTCCGGGTAGCTGCAAAAGACGATCAACCTCACGAGACAGTAAATCAATGGAAGACCAACGCTTCTCGCCAATGGTGGTGAGTTCGTCGAAAGCCTTATCGACTGTCGTTTTATCGAGAAATCTCTCCTTAATCTTTTGGAGAAATTGTCTCAACGTCAAGGTCTTAGCCCACTCACCTATATCCTTGAAACCAGCAACATTGGCTTCGGCTAGCACCCACTCCTTAGCCACTCCTCCCAAACACGATGTGGAGAGAGCGACCTGACTCTCGGGCTCAACGGGTGTTGTTCCGACGTAGGTCTGGATTTCCGCAATCCACAACAACATGGATTTCCGCAATCCACGACAACAAGTTCTCTTCCTTCTTGTTGTTGTACGTAAATGGAAGTTTCATTTTAACCTTTTCTTTCTTCTTCGGTTTTTCTGGTTCCTTCACCCGTTCTTCTTTCTTTTCGGTGGGTGACACTCGTTTCATTGCATCCTTCATTAATTTTTCTTGGGGTTCCTTCATAGAACCTTCGGGTTTCTTAGGTGACACTCGTTTAATTGCATCCTTCATTAATTTTTCTTGGGGTTCCTTCTTGTCTTCTTCCCCCTGAGCCACCTCCTCATACACCACCTTTTATTTTTCCTTCGTCATTCTGATCATTTTCTCAATAGCGGCGGTGTTACTGTCAATCTTTTTCTCGAGATGCACGAGGTAGACCATAATCGACTGAAGAATAGATGCAACCTCACTACCTGCTTCTTCGTAATGAAACTTTTGCCTCAATTCATTCATCATTCTTTCTTCTTCTTCTTCTTCTTCTTTCAATCTTCGGTACTCTTCAATCTTCCTTCTCACTTCTCTTAATGTATTTTCTAGTTGTCTGACGTTTTCCTCCATTATTTCCACAGACAATTGTGGTTCCTTTCTTTCTTCCCTTTCTTCTTTTTTTTCCTCTTTTCCTTTCTGGTCCATCTTTTCAAAGCTCTCGGCGACATATTTATCAAGGATCAATCGTCCTTGTTTAATAAGGTTTTCGACCCTCGTGCCTATTTCTATTATCTGAACAGCAGTCTCGACGACCTGCAAATCTCTTTCTGCAGCCTCTGACCACGGGTTGTTAGTTCCACTCCCTCTTCATCGACAAAAATGGTAAGAGGAAGGAAAAGAAAAAAAGCGGTATGAACCGAGTCAAGATAGAGGCTCGCAAACATATCTAGAGAGAATTCATTTTGCCAAATGTGCACATGCCGCACAATTAATAAAATTAGAAGACGAAAATAAATTCCACGACGCACACAACTTTTACAGCAAGAATTATTCAAAGCAAATACAAAAAAATAGATGTTTTACTGAGTCTAACTTCGTTGTCTGTTCTTTTTGTGTGATGACGTCCGACAACATGTGTACAGGTACCGCAGCCTCGGCAAATGTGATCAAGACAACAACACATAAGTGAGCCTGCAAGAACACCACAGAACAACTAACAGGTGAGTAAAATCAACACTCCAACACAATCAATTGTTAGCTTCCTCTCTTTACGGTTGTACTATCTGCAGCAACCAAACACATTACACACTCAACACCTCACTCAGCCACGCAGGCCACGTGTCACCTCTGGAATGCCAACACAGCAGCTCAATGGAGTCTGCCACGTCAACACATCAAGAACCTGGAGGGTGTACAAGGGGGATGACACGTCAGCAATGCGTGCCTGTCACGCACATTATATTGGCATGCCACGTTAGCGCCTATTCAGCAGGTACTCACGACACAGGTATGTGTCACCTCAAACCATGCACTGCCAAAATACCTCATCAACATTCCATATTATGCCACGTAGGCACTATGCCACATCAATTCACACACCTTATCTATCTGGACCGGCGCCACGAAGCTCTCGCCGGTGTCTTTAATGCAGCTACGTCATCATCTTCAAGGGACGGCTGCTCACAAGTGCATTACTACAATGTCTAGACTTGCGGTATGACCGCACGTGTTAATAAACGCGTTTCGTTTTGCACATGCGGCACCTCCCACTTACCAAGGTGCCACGTCAACACCTGACAGCAGACAACAAATCGCAATGAAGAAGTTTGCTCTAATACCAAATTGTAATGAACCCAGTCTTACAGATACTCGGAAGTCGTCAAATACCTGTAGAGTCGGTATCTGCAACGAAGTCTCATACTCATGAAGAAATATCACAAACAGTATCTCATTATCATCAATAGAAGAAAGTGGAGGGGGAACAGACAAAGGAGAAGATGAAAATTCACACAGTAATCCCTTCTAAACCCTCTCCTTCTCCGGGCTTCTTCCCTCTCCACATCAACAATAATAATAAGTACATTCCTTATTACACACGGAAGTGCCACGTGGAAGACCATGAAGACATTGCAGATTCCAGTTTCGACTTCAAACCCAGGTGAGTACCCGTTCTCCTTCAACCACAGATCCCGATCTTACTCCTTCCTTGCAACCAGTCACCTCATGTAGACAGCGTGGACAATGCCACGTCAACTATCGAGACAGGTGGCAATCGCCACATCATCAATGTAGACTAGTAGCAGCGCCACGTATATCAAAGGCAGCGCCACATCAGCATGCCACGTAGATTAGAGGCAGCGCCACGTATACCAGAGGCAACGCCACATCAACATGCCACATAGACCAAAGACAGCGCCACGTATGCCAGAGGCAGCGCCACATCGGCATGCCACGTAGACCAGAGGCAGCGCCACATCAGCATGCCATGTAAACCAGAGGCAGAGCTACATCAGCATGGCCTGGCGCACTGAAGAAGCGCCAGCATGCTGCCTCCACCTCGTGCCGTCGTCCGCAACGCCTGTGCACAGTCGGCATGAAGCCAGCGTTGTGTCAAAGTCGAGCCAGCGTCAAAGCAGCATAGCAAGACTGAATGCTTGACTTACTCGAGGTCAGCCTCAAGTAACAGATGTCGAGGCTGTCTGTCCTCGGGTACTTTTCCCATAGTCGTCCTGATTGAATCACCGCTGAGGGCCCGGATTGTACACTTGCAGACTTCTCCCTTGGACCTGATGTTGTCTGGGTACCTGCATACGAACAAGTGTGTGTGCTTGACCTGCGGCCTGGGCTAGGTACCTTTGGACTTTGACTGTTGGAATTTCCGACAGTTGACTTTGTCAACCGTGCCTCGTCCATGCCCTGAGTCTTGACTGGGGTCTTTTCCCCCCTGTTCGGCCTGGGTCTCAGTTTCAGCGAGGCTTACTACATGGGTTATTACAGGTATTGCACAGCACATCCACGTACAGATCCCTAAGTAGACCATTGAATCATTGCTTGAGGAGGGTACAACCAAGAGACAGTTGTCTGTCAGGATGTTAGGAATCATCTAATCATTCTTTGAAGAGGGTGCAAGAGAGAGACTGCGTTGATTGACAGAATAACACCAACTCGATGGCAGGAGGTAAAAGATTGATGGAAAGAAAAACAGTGAAAGACTTAGAGAAAGCTCTCTACAAAACCCTTAGCTTCCCAATCCCCTCCTCTTCCACAGCAAGCCCCACGTCATTCTCCTCCATACGAAGTCCCTCCTTCCCTCTTCTTCTACAGCAAGCCCCACCTGCCCTCCTCTTCATTAGCAAGTCTGTCCTCGCACTTGAACCCGCCTGCTGCTATTGTCCGTCTTCTTTTGTCTTTTTTTTTCCCCCTGCTGTCTATCCACAATTACAAGGGTCTATACTACATAGTACAAACTGCATGCCAGAATTTCCACGAAAGTAATACAAGGCCCAGCAACGACTATGTGGGAGCAGGTCCTCCTGCTAATCTACCTACGGTCCATATTAGGACCTGTATGTACCGAAACTGGCCATGCAATCAAACAAGGCCTTGTAGTCATCTCCCATGTTTCTAACTTCTCTAAACTATACACGAAGGGCAGTACGGGTTACAGGACGTGATAATGCTATATAACAGAACTTTCGGATGAACCAATCGGAACACAACCACCTGCATTTTCACATGCGAATTCTAAGTTCTATCCACTAAACAGCTGAAACAGAAGTACCTTTGTGGCCATACCCAGATAAACTCCTACTCCGTAGTTTCTTCGGCCTGAATAGTGCTAGTCAACCTGCCACTACTCAAACTCTTTATTTTTTCCCAATACTTCACAAGGAGGTGCTCGCACTGAAATACAATTTCAAATATTTTGTGGCGGTTTACATCTGAACCCCACATAGTTTCCTGGCTATACCTGAAAACCAACCTACCGACTGATCTACCTCTTGTGGCAAAGACTGACTAACAAAGGAAGCTCCGTACAGTAGTTTACTTCACACCCCATGCACATACGCAACCACATGTTCCTAAACCCGGTCACCTTGCGCCCAGACCCAAAATGTTACACACACTAAATCATGAATGAATTCCTGGACCTCAGCCTCCTACTCGGTCACCTCCCCTCATCAGCTATCGTGCCTTTACCCCCCCCAGCACCATGACTTTTGTGACCACCAGAAAGCCGAGACCAATGAGATAACGACCTGCAGTCGTGTGGCCACAAATCAATCAATCAGCCTTGCAGTCAACGTCTCTCCGCTAGCGGTCTGTGCTTCAGCTTCATCTCAAACGACCGGATCTCCATTGGGCAGAGTTCCATGCGGAAATCATATTTTTTATTGCCTTTCTTGGCAAAAGTTTCCTCTCCCCCCCCCCCACGCCGCACTGTCATCGGGGTCCCTCCCTCCTCTCCTTCCACTCTCCAGGAGAGTGTCCGCCTCCCTCGCTTCACTTGGTTCGCAGTTAAAGTAGTCTCGTGCATCCACTTCACATTTGCTGTCCCTTGTCTATTCCTTACAATGGGTGAGATGTCGATAATCGTGCAATTGGAATTCTCTGCATCCTCATCCACCTCATAAAGATGAGCCAGCCTGAGCAAAACCTTCCTTTTTGGTAATCCCTGCAGCGTCATGAGAGCAACATTGCAAGGAAACTCGTGTACGGTGCCGTCCTCTGACGCCAATGCAGAAAAGCCTCGTGCAAGTGGCCCTGCTGACGCCTTCAGCTGCCCCACAATATCGCTGTCAGCAATCAAAAAGCCTGGCAGCAAAGGGCTGTACAGCTTCTGTGCTTCTGTTCTCCGCCAGCGTGCAGCTGCCCCCGACGGGTTCAGATTCAGATACAACTTACCCCTGACGGTGAGGCCCCGACAAACGCTCCCAGCACAAACTGTTTCATTCAAACACTCGCCAACGCCTCGCCGATCATCAACCAAGAGTCGCCTGTGAAGCATGAGCTCGAGCTCGCCATCCGTCAAACTCGCCCCCCCCAGAGCACGATCCACAAGTATCGAGAAATCAGCATTGCCATTGCCAAGGTAGATAGCGGAATTCACGGGGTAGTAGTTCCCTGCCACAGGCTCAGTGACATTGAGATCCCATGTTGGGCGGTAGTTAATCACCCGCCTAATCATATCTCGGCCATTGGAATCGGTGTAGAATGTCTTATTGCTCGCAAGACCAGTGCTGAATCGGGTAATGGCCTCCTTCCCCAGGCCATCATCAATGGGGATCGGCCCGACTGTGTACTCCACCTCTACATGCTCTTTACCTCTGTAAATTCTCATGACCTGTGAAACCCAACTTGAAAACCTCTGCCGGATCTCGGTCACAATGGGTCCCCTCACAATGGTAGTCTTTACAGATGCATTCTCTCCTCCGACAGGCAATGCGGCAGATCCATTTGGCCGGAAGATATACGCTCCTGAAGCCTGACCCGGCTCCTCAACTGTGTTTCCAGTGCTGCCATTGTACCATAGGAAGGAGTTCTTCAGCTCCACCGACAGGCCACTCTTCAGTTCCGTTATCCTTTGGAGCCGTCCCGTGTCATTAGCAATCGAGACCCGCACATAGTCATTCCCAACATCAACTATTCCTGAAGCAGAGGCATTGGTATCCAGCTGCTCCATCGCTGACACTGAAGCACGATCAGATGGGTTTGTCGGGTGATCCACGAAATAGGTTGCGACTCCAAGTGGCGGGACTTGTGCCTCGAAGACAAGCTCGAAGAGAGGGTCCCTTCTATGTAATTTAGCACCAGTGTACGCTTCCGCATGAAACTCTCGCAATGCTTCTTCTTCCACCTCTACCGGCACCATCTGCGACAGCACTTCTATTCCATGAAGGTCCTCCACATGTACATCTGTGCTTGTGACTGGGAATCTCACCACCTCTGTACGATGCCAGGCAAGTGGGTTATAGAGGATAATCACTATAGCCGTCTCTTTCAAAATTTTTGCTTCTGTCACTGGACAGTAGGTGATGTTCAGCAGCCTGCATTGACAAACGACGGGCAACAATGGGATCCCCCCCCCACCGGAGTCGCTCCTTCCCCTTACACTCCCCTCCAGCATCGTCCTCCGGCCATCTGTCTGGTCCTGCAGTGCAAGCAATTCCAGCAGGGCCATGCTCACAACTTTTTCCGCCTCCGCCTCTCCAATTGCCAGTCTCTTTGCAAAGTCATTTGCAACGTGTTGCTTTTCTGTGCCGCTCACCGCATCATGGTGCTGGGCAATGGCCAATGCTTCTTCAAGTGGTTGAGTTGTCCCACTCTGGTGCCGACCTAGGAGGAACTCAAGCTGTCGTGCAGCCTGCAGATATCCGCTGAGGGACCGAACATAGCCCTTCAGAGCTGTCCTACTTGCGAAGTAGCCCGTCCAGTATGAATGCGGCGAGTTTGCATGCGGGAAGTAGTCATCTGTCTTAAGAGGCCAGCTCACATTTGCAGCATTCTTCGCATCCACATAACTGGATGGTGAGGAGTAAAACACATTGACCCTCCCATCGAGGTTCACATAATGGATCAGCTTGTCAAGCTGTTTGAACCATGTGTTTGCATTTCCATAGGTGAAATCCTCTCCCATAGTGAGCATGACATGATTCGTGCGGAATTGGGAGGCCTGCTCAAGCACCTTTTCCACAAATAAATCCACCCGTTCCTGTACATTGTAATCAAACAGTTCAGGATCATCCTGGAGGGGCGGGTCCTTGGAATTTATTTCAAAATTGAAGCCTTTCGGTGGATCATAGTGGTGGTGCAAGATCCCCGCAAACGTCTGTGCGGTGGCTCCAAGGGATTTCGATCCTCTCCAGATGACTTCCATCGATTTCTGCTTCCGCCGATTCTCGATATCTTGGTAGTCAGCACGTGCAAAGAAAACTGCATCAAGGCCTGCCTCAGCAGACAACAGCGAAGCCTGAACGGACGAATGTCCGAATGGATCAATCTGCCATCCAATGCGCGGGACTGCATCAAACTGTGATTTGATGTACCGATGCCCAAGAGTGGTCTGATCAACCATGTCCACATAATGTGTGGATGCCTCGTCATGCATACACCATCCGCCATTCAAGAACTCCAGTTGCCCTCTGTCGACAAGCCGCCGAACCAAACTCTGCATGTGATGGTTTTGCTCTCGCCACCACCGCTGGAAGAATGCCTGCTCCACGTACATGAACTTCCGGTCGCAATTCTGCAGCAGAGACTTCAAAACCGAGTCCAGAATATACTGCACCGCCGCCACCTGAATAGAATTGTTCGAACCCACATAATACTGGTCCACGGTCTTAAGCCAGCCCACATCGTCATGTGTGTGGCAGACCAGGTGCGCATTGATTTGGTGTTGCACCGGGTGTGACGTAGTGTTGTATTCCATGTGCCTTGCTGCGTTCACACCTCCTCTCATCAACAACAACCATACTGCGGCTTGGACGATGACCGAAATAGCGGTCAACCGCACCTCTGTGCCCAGTGAACACATCTTTCCACAAATTATGATACCACCCATTGTGTGTGTGACTCTGCCTCCTGCATGGAAACTCCTGTTTCAGCTTCTTCTTCTACACATACATTTGCATCTATTCTTCCTCTTGATGGGCCACACTCAGACACGTGTGAGGGCAACTCTGCTGCTGCACAGACAATGACCGACACCCAATTTAGTCCTGAGAAAACTGCATCGTTCTCGTTTACACAGCAGTCACCACCTGCCCACCTGCCCGGCAGACCATTCAATATATGTGATGATCTGACAGCTCCCTCAGCCAGCCATTCAATGATCCAACCGCTCCCTCAGGCATGCCATTAAATGTTCCAAAAGCTCCCTCAGGCAGCCATCCAATGACCCAAGGAGCTCCCTTAAGAGGCAAATGAATACATGGGTGCACTAGTATGTCACCACGCCTGCCGACACACGTGTGCACCCACCGGCCTGCACCATGTCCCCCCACACTTGTGGCATCCTCATCGTGCAACCTGCCACCTTTCCCCCCTTCATCTCTTTCACACCTTTTGCTACAGAGACTCATAGATACTATTTCACCGGTATCTGGATGTCAGAATGCTTCTTAAGTACATCCATGATAACCTCTGTGTGAGCATTTCCAAATCCTTCTCACAAACACACCTTTTTCTTCCCCACTACTTGGGTGCGATAGGGGAAGGGGCGGGTAACGAGAGAAAGGAGTGCCTGATGACTCTAATACATCCGGCAGATTTGAAACTGACATGGCCAGGAAGAAAGAGGCTGAAACACAGGCCGGCAGGCAGGATGGTCGTATGGACGGATGGTGGATGTCTCAACTGAGCTCTAGGGACTGCATACACAATGCAACAGTTCTCTCAATTCTACACACCATCATTTTCTCTGTGCGGAAATGGACGCACAGAGAAAATGAAATGATGACGCAAACCTAGCAAAAGGCTGCACCATCATATTGGGGTAGAAACACAGCAGAAGAACTAAGGCCAGGCTTTGAGAGACAAAAGAAAATACAGAAAACTCAGAACAGTATAATACACAGTTGAGATGAATGGATGCCACCATATCTTTTTCTATCAAGGAGTTAAATGCATCATGACATCGACCAAGAGTAAGATGCAAGCTATCATTTATTCAATCGTTCGAGGACTAGGAAGAGGAGGAAGAGGAAGAGGAGGAAGAGGAAGAAGAGGAAGAGGAAGAGGAGGAAGAGGAGGAAGAGGAAGAGGAGGAAGAGGAAGAGGAAGAGGAAGAGGAGGAAGAAGAAGAAGAGGAAGAAGAGGAAGAGGAAGAGGAAGAGGAAGAGGAGGAGGAGGAGGAGGAGGAAGAGGAGGAGAAAGAGGAAGAGGAAGAGGAAGAGGAAGAGGAAGAAGAAGAGGAAGAGGAAGAAGAGGAAGAGGGAGAAGAAGAAGGAGAAGAAGACGAAGAAGGAGGATGAGGAAGACGAAGAGAAAGAGGAGAAGGAGCAGGAGGAGGAGCACGAGGAGGAGGAGGAGGAGGAGTCCTAAGTACTCTCGAAGGTATTCGCCTGCGTGTGCTTGTGTTCTTGTGTGTGTTTGCGAGTGTGGTTTTTGTTATCTGTTTGCAACTTTGCGTAGGAGGAGGAGGAGGAGGAGAAGGAGGAGGAAAAGGAGTGTTATCTGTTTGCAACTTTGCGTATGAGGAGGAGAAGGAGGAGGAGGAGGAGGAGGAGGAGGAGAGGGAGGAGGAGGAGCAAGAGGAGAAAGAGGAGGAGGAGGAGGAGGAGGAGGAGGAGGAGAAGGAGCAAGAGGAGACGGAGGAGGAGGAGAAGAAGTAGAAGAAGAAGAAGACGAAGAAGAAGAAGAAGAAGAAGAAGAAGAAGAAGAAGAAGAAGAAGAAGAAGAAGAAGAGGAGGAGGAGGAGGAGGAGAAGGAGGAGAAGGAGGAGAAGGACGAGGAGAAGGAGTGTTATCTGTTTGCAACTTTGCGTAGGAGGAGGAGGAGGAGGAGAAGGAGGAGGAGGAGGAGGAGGAGGAGGAGTGTTATCTGTTTGCAACTTTGCGTAGGAGGAGGAGAAGGAGGAGGAGAAGGAGAAGGAGCAAGAGGAGAAGGAAAAGGAGCAAGAGGAGGAGGAGGAGAAGGAGCAAGAACAAGAGGAGGAGGAGGAGGAGGAGGAGAAGAAGAAGAAGAAGAAGCAGAAGCAGAAGCAGAAGCAGAAGCAGAAGCAGGAGGAGGAGCAAGAGGAGGAGGAGGAGGAGGAGCAAGAGGAGGAGGAGGAGACGAAGA